TAATCCTGGCCCAGGATTGGGCTGAATGGTTGTTCTGTAGTGTGTTTTTTTGACTGACACAAGATTTAAATAGTAGGCTATTGACTCTCTCCTGTCCTGGGATGCATGTTTGCATGTGTTAAATAAAGATGGTAACGATCAGTGAATGCCTTAGGTTTGTGCCTTTGCCTCACAGCACTTTACTTGACTGGCAAGGAAGAATTATCAAGTGAATTCTAACTTGTGCTCATTGGATTCTCTGAGTAATGTGACCTAGATATTTTTGCACCTGTCGACTTCTTGTCTTTGAGACCTACCTTCACATTAAGCTTTAGAAAAATGTATGCTGGTGTGTAATGATCCTGTTGAGCAAAAGAAGAAGGAAGCAGTTCATAAATACTGCAATCTGAAGGGCCAAGCTGGCCTAAGAATGTTCCCCGTAAAAATTCTTTTGTGTTCCTTTTAAATTATAAAGCTTTTATTAAATGTTTTGAAAGAGGAAGGAAAGCATTAGGGTCATTTTTTACATGGTTTCTTGGAGTGTAGTGACTGAAAAATGGAAGCAGAACACGTAAGGATTTAAGAGTCTGGGCTTTAAGGATTTTAAGAGGCTGTACTGTGGAAAGTAGAGATTGGACTCCTTGGTTCTGAGCAGCAAGGAACATGCTTTGGTGTGGCTTCTGAAGGAAACACTCCATCTATAAGGCCATTGCTTATTAAAATGGCAAATGTTCTCTCTTTCTCAAGCAAGTTTTCAAATGTAAATGTTTCAGGAAAGGTAAAAAATGAGAAGTGTCTAAAGTATGAGGTAAGGTGTTCTTCTGTGATCCAGTTAGCATAGATTATTAGGTGAGTGTTAATGAGACCACTTAAGTGAGTGTTAATGATACCACTGAGTCATGCTGGCAGCTTGTGGTTTCCAAAGGGATCTGAACATCATCCTACTTGTGTGATTCTCTCCTTTGTGCCTGTTCTCACAGCCTTGCTAACACACAGCCATTGCTAAGTCAGTTTTTCCCACTGAGCAATGAACAAAATAATTCCCTTATTTCTTTCCTGCCAATTCAGGGAGGTGACGTGATTCATCATGAGCTTTCACAATGAAAAAAGGAGGTGGGATAAAGTGGCAGGAAATGCAGCATGTGGCCATCTCTTTCACTGCTACTAAGCTTTTAGATTGGCTCAGTTATCTTGTGAAACCTCATCTTTTGGATTTGGTTATGGTGGTGCTGGCTATCCTCACAACTTATTATCTAAATTCGAAGTTACTGATCACTTGGGAAAGACTAGTGAAATAAAGTCATTGTTACAGGTTTACTGACAGTTCTTGAGGTTTCTTACTTCTTTGTTTTTTGTGATTTTTACAGCAGTGTTTTTAGTCTCCATTTGATCATCTCCTCTTTCCATTGATGCTTCACCTTATAAACTGTTCACACATTTTCTCACTCTGTTTTGTATGCTTCAGCTTTTGTTCTCAGATCCTAAAAAATTAATCTCCAAGATTTCTCCTGCAGTTGTGATAAGTGTTAACATATACTAAGGTTGGTGTTACAGTTGCACTGAAATAACACTTAGCTGTTTCTGAAAGTGTCATTTCATTCCTTCGCTGGCAGTGTGTTCTTACTTCTTCACTTGGCACAGTGAAGAACACTTTGGTGTTTGTCTGATACTGTGATGAGCTGGTCTGAGGAGACAGGCAATAGAAAATCATGGTTTTAAGTTCTTCTGGCTCTGTCAACCAGCTCCCCACAGGGTAAAATGAACACCAGGCTTGACCTAAGAATAAGGAGCCATAAAGACACAGGCAAAAGTTTGTTCACAGGACTGCTGAAAGAGTAGAAGCTGGACCATCTGTTTTAGTAGCAGTTGTTGGTTAGGTAGATACAGCTGCAACATCACACCACATTGTTAAGGCAAATATATTGCTGCTTTTGCTTCAAATTGAATGCATGAGGATGATCTGTCATAACGTTTCTATCCATGAGATTCTTCCACAGAAAAACTTTTCAGCCCTTTCAACTTTCTTCCTCCCTCATTAAGAATTCTAATATACTTTCATTGGCAAGTGTTAGTATTACCAATGTTTTCATTCTCTTAATTTCCCTCAAATATTTTTACGTTAACCTTGTCACAAATGTATGATCAAATACAGCAGTACGTTAACTATAGCCTAAACATTTAAACCAGAACTGCGGTCATCACCTCTAAACACTCTGTTATTCTTCAATAAGAGGTTGCATTTCTATTTTCTCTGCATTTTAAGTTTGCAAGGGCTGGAATTCCAGTTTTTCTCAGCATCAGTAGTTTTCATTTCTCTGTAAAGTTAAATCGTAATTTTGCTGCCAACTTTGCCCAAGCCAAGTAGAAATATCAGACAGAGCTTCCTTTACCAAATAATTGGTTGTTCAGTTAGTAGGCATCTGGAGGATTAAGGGTGAACCTTAAGACACTGTGTTATGTCTTCATTAGTACTTATTAAGTTGTCTTTTTTTAAGGAAAAAAAAGCAGCTCCAGATTTAATAGCTTTTATATTTCTTAAACGTGAGAAGTTTCTGCTTCGCATTTGTCTGTTCATTTTGACATGGTTGGTAGTTTCCTCCTGCATTAATAACTAAGCAGAGCAGCTTGCGAGCTGTTACCATTAAATTGCATTTACGTATTTGTGCTCTTCTGAGTAGAACGTTTTGCTTTTTAATATGCTGTTCTGTGGCATGTGTCATATGCCTTTCTATTTTATGACTGAGAAAAATGAGGCCCAGTTTATTTATCATAACATTCATGCAAACCCTTTAATACATATCTTTTTTCATTAGGATCGATTCCAGTTAAACACTGTGGCAGTTTTTCTTATCCAGCCTTTTCTGTCCATTTCTCCTTTATAGACATATTAGGTAGTTACTTAGCTTCACAATGGTTGGAAAGATATTTATTAAAAAAAGAGTTCACCAGAAAAGTTTGAAGATGAAAATTGGAGCAGAGTGACAAGTAGGTTAAAAATACCAAGTCAGTCTTTAGTAAGGAATATATATATGTGTGTGTGTCTGTGTGTGTGTGTTTACACATAGAGGGGTTGTGTGTATGTGTGTGTTTTTATTTTTGTCTGCATTTATCTGAGTATCAAATATATGTCTACATATTTCTGAGTATTGTTTCATGGCTAGAAACAACTTTAAGTCAGTATAATTTGTTGTCTCCTACTGTGTCAGCATAGAAGAGAATGGGTCCGTATGTACAGAATTTGTCTTCCAAGACATGTAATGTATTTTTTTAGCAGTAGGGTACAAAAGTACCCTAGGATTATGCTCTTTAAAAAGGCTCTGTAACTGTATATTTCTTTGTGGTGTTGTTTGCTCATGTGTTGTATGTGTGAATAAATTTAAATGAAGTGTTTATCAGAATATAAGGACCCATTCAGAACACAAATTTAAAGACAAGCACTGTTCAAAGGCAATGTCAATTTATTTTGGGAATACAATTGTATTGCACTGAATAAAGGTAATATCATCTATCCAGAGTGTTTAGTTCTTGGTATTCTAAGCAGTAGTCATTCAATCAAAATATTCTGAAGCCTTATCCTAAGGAAGTTCAGTAACTTCACCTTGAATAGCCCTGTTGGAATTTGAAACAGATTTATGGCAGAAACTTGTGTTCCAAACAGCTGTCATGCAAAACCATTTAGAAAACCCCTGAAAGTCTGGTGAACTCAGAAATCCATTGCGCATGTTGTTTTGACTTTTTTTTAATTAAGATAATACATCCTTCCAGGAAAACCTCTAATGTAGGTCTTTAACATAAAGCCATAGCTAAAATAAACTGATGCACTTTGTCAGTGTGCCTTTTAAACACAGGGCTTAAGGACTTCAAATTTATAGCTCGCCTTTCCTGTGGAATTACAAATAGTTTGATATCGTACGTCAATGGAGGCATAAAAGTCACAGAAAACAAACCAGAATTTGGACAAGGATCAGAGAGTGAGAGAAAGAGTCAGAATGAGAGCATCTGTCTTACGGTCTTGGATTTGATTTAAAAAATTTAAAATTCTGTCAGTGTAATCTCTCCAAAATAAAGTTAGGCAATGCAAGTTTGTTTCCTGGCAATAGCTCTGTTTCCACTATCCGGCATATGGGACACAGAGGGTGGGTCCAGGCTGCCTGGGGAGAAGCAGAGCAAACTGTTCCCCCTGCTGCCTTCCAGCGCTGGAACATTTCCCCCATGTTAGGGATGCTCGTTTCTGATCCACCCTGGCCTTTTCCTATCTCATAAACAAGTTAATCTTAGGGAAATAACTGGAAAGGCCTTGGCTTAGTAAAAACGAGATGGAACCTACTGTGCAAAGAGTAACAGCATTCAGATTACATGTGCCAATTTTTATACTATGTGTTTAAATATTATCATTTGAAAAATGGTTTATGTGAATGATTTTGCTATTTTTAATGGGTTTGTATGGCAGTGTTGACTCCAAGTGGAAAAATAGGTGGTCTGGAATGAAGAGTATCTTGAGTGAAGCAGTAAAAGGAAGTGGGATGGTATAGATATTTCATACTCCTTAAGGGGTGGGTGATATGATAGTATACATAAGTCAGAGGTGTGATCATGACAGATATAAGTAAAACAACCTCAGAAAGTCCAATTTTGAGTAGAAGATGCACCGAAAGAAAAAAAACAACCCATCTTTATTTTGAAAAAATCACATACTATTGAGTTGCTAATGCTTCATGTGGCAGTGGATAAATACATACATTTTGATCTGACAGCACAATTTATCACAATAATACTGGTAGTTTAACAGGAACTCACCTCAACCATGCTTTGATTTCTTGAAAAACTGTAAAGTTTCATTAAAATACTCCTTTTTTTCTTTTCTATTTTCTCTTCCTTTCTAAATAAGAACTTCTCTGCAGCTACTTTGCAAATGCCAGTTAAATCATGAGTTTTAATGTAGTATTCAGAGAGCTTTTTTTTGAATAAACAACATTTTATTAATTGTTTTCCATTTTTTTTTCTTCTGCCTCTCATTTCAGAACGGTTTGATCACCACTGTCCCTGGGTAGGCAACTGTGTGGGGAAAAGAAACTACAGATTTTTTTATATGTTTATTTTATCTCTGTCCTTTCTGACAGTCTTTATATTTGCATTCGTTATCACCCACGTCATCCTTCGTAAGTATGCTGATGAAATCAGATTACGTATGTAGCCATTTGCTTGAGTTTTTTAAGTTAATATTTTGATCATTCAGGGTTTATTTCTTTATTATTTGTTTATTTGCCTTTTCTCTGAAGCTTCACAATCCCCAGTGAGTCCCATTCTGGTCTATAGTAGGCCCCATTCATAACAGTCATTGACTTAGCAGTAGCTTTAACTTAATACGGTGTTAATTTTTTTAATTTTTTTTTTGTCCTTTTATGGATGATTTATTGGAAAAGCATCACACATACTGTATGTCTAAGTATACAGATAGTATCATTTACCCAAAGAACTGTTATGTGCTTTTTTTAACTGTAAGCATGGGTCACTTGCCAACCAGGCAAACAGGTAAATTACTAGGAAATAGGTTGGAGCTATACTTTTGGTTGTTTGCCGTTTAATTTACATTGTTCTCTACCTTATTTTTAACACACATTATTTTCATTTGCATAGACATTCTGAGAATAACCAATTCATAATGAAGCGAATCTGATAAATATTCAGGAGTTTGAAGTTGGTTTTTATTTGTGTTCTGAATTGTGTTTGAGGTCAGAACTCTTTTGGGTGTTTTCTTTTTTTTTCCACACCCCTAACAAATTTTGCTGGCTCCTATATGATGATGATCTCATTTATGGTGACAGGCTATATGACTTGTCTTTAAAGGTCTTTTGTATGTTGGAGTTTTTTAACTCACTATCATAGGAAACTTCGGAATGTTTTATTTTTTTCACTAATTATGTAGGATATTGCCTTGAAAAGTAGGTCTTTAACCATTTTGGAAATGTGATCTTTTTATTTCTTTGTATTCTGTATTACAACACAAACCTGGTAGAAATAATAATTTTGGTATTTAAGACATTTATAAAGCTAACTTGACAATGGTAATATTAGAGAATGTTTTCCTGAAAAAAACGTGTTAGATTGTGCTCTTCTAAATTGCTTACAATGTGCTGGGAAAAGCTGTATTTTAAAAAGCAGAACTCCTGCTTTTATTTGTTCTTCACAAAAGAATGATAAGAGCACTGAGCAACTCCCTTATAGCTTAGAAATCTAGCTCATAGACTAGAACTGGTGTGCCTAATTTTGAGGGAGTCTGAATAAACAAGTTGTTCTCACTAACAGATACAGCATTTCTAATACCAGTTGTTTAAAAAGGGAAAAGTAGTTGTTGGAAAAAGAACACTTGCCATTAATACTTAAATCCGTGACATTTATCTGGGCATACACACAGATATACATATATACACACATTTTATATACATATATACATACATACTTTTTACATTAAGAAGAAGAGAAAGCGTGTTTTTTTTCTGCCATCTTACCTTACTAGAGTTCAGTAATTGAAAACATTACTAGTCTGACAATGTAAAACTACTTTTGACGCTAACCTACCTTCATTTCACAAGGACTGCAGTGCTTTTCTCTTTAGTTTTCAGCATATGAATTACCAATATTATGTCAATATTTCATGTACTGTATGTAAAGTAGGTTTATCTAGTGGATTTTAACCTTACAGTGTCCATTTCTAAGTATGATTTAGACGAAGAGCAGAGTAATTAATTGTGCCTCTCTGTGGTTGAGAAACACTTCAGCATTGTGTAGGTGTTACAGATAATGTATAGTAAATGTTAAATGCTAAAGTGTCTACCAGCTGCAAAATATTCTTGCTATGGAGGTTTGTCTACCTTGGATGAGACAGGGAAAAACATCCTTAAGTTCCAAAGTTTGGTCAGTCCTCAAAGGCAATGGGAGCAGGTATGAAATGCAATTAGTTCCTCGATGTTTATTTGCTACACTGGGGCTTCAAGCCCAGCTTTCAGATTTGTCTTCTGTAATCTTGACAGTGTCCAAAAAAGAGTTCTTTACAAATAAAGTTTTCTTGTCACATTGATCGCTCCACTCTGTGCCTACCGTGCTTCTAGAAGTCCTCATATCTACCTTTCTAATAGTTACCGCTCAACTATTTGTGTTCTATTTTGCAGCCCTGTAGTTGTTCAGCTGGTGCTAACCATTTAGCAGGATTCTCAGTTACTTAATCTGAACCTTTATACTTGGCATAGACTGCTTTTTGTTAGTGTGTCTGAAGAAAGTCTCAGTTATTAGACCTGGAACTATGACCTTTCTACAGTGTTTCAAAGTCATACATGTACATTTTCATAAGACCTGACAAAATTATTTTATTTTAATGCCCCTTGATTTGGACAGATTTTGAAATTTGTATATTTTTCTAATACATCTTGCAAGCTGGTATTTTATAATTTTTGGGAGACCTAAGTGGTGATATGAGATACATCTTAACTTCTGAGGCATACATTGGAAATTTACTCTTGCTAGGATTAAGAGTGTGTGTACATAATATCTTTGAAGATCATAAAACTGATTTTAAATATCAAAGGTATTGTCTTGCAAGACTTTCTTCCATCTCATGAAGCTGAACGCATTTTCAGTAGTAGCAGTGTCTTTGTTCAGAGTTACTCATCTCTGTTTGAGGCATCAGTATTTCAACTGTTTGTTGCAGTGAAGAACCCTCCCCTTCTGATGTTTTGGTCCCACTGCTTAGAGGAGTGTGACCAGCAGTAGGGTGTAGAGATCACACCTACCTGCTGCCATTGCCATTAAGGAACCTAAAAAACAGTAGAGGAGGTAGGGGAAATTCCATTAGTCCTGTACCTTGAGAATAAGAATCAGTTATGAGAATCTGAAAAGTCTCAGAAATACAAGGTAAGTAACTTTCCTTTTGTAATGGCGAACAGTAAATTGACCAGATAGATCTAGAGAATATTTTTTTATTCTTATAAAGACAAGATTCTTCTCTCTATACAAGTCTTCAGATGAATTTAGCTAAGTGGAAAATCTTTCTGCGGGAGGACTTTCAACCTGACGGATTTAAATCAGTTATGTTAGATGGTAAAATTCAAACTATGTGCCTACAGTGTGCCACGTTAAGTTAGTTTCTACCGAAGATTCATTTGCTGCAACCAGGAAATTGTCAAATCGCCCTTTTTGACTACTGTCTCAGGGTTATGGAACCCAAGTGCTTCTGCACTCTGCATGCTTTGCATCTCTAGTTGAATAGCTCATGCTTCTCTTGAGCTTTTTTCAGCTGGTAGATTGTGTTTTATTTGCCAAGAGGCAACAGTAACCTATTAGAAAAATCTTCTACGTAGGTGCATAGGGTGCATAGGAACAGGATTACAGTCAAGAAAGCTCTGCTTCCGAAACAAAGGATGGAAAATTGAAAAATCTGAATTTATAGGATAAATTTTCCAAGTCAAAAAGTTACTTTGAAAAACAGTATTTCAAAATAAAACAGGAGGTTATAATTTTTTGTTTCCATATTAGGTCTGAAAAGAACAAGAATAATCGGAAATCTTGTTCATGGGAAAGTATGCTTGCATCAATGTGGTATGACCGAGCAAATATCCTGCAGATGTTAAACCTTATAACTTACCCAGGATTTTTTCAATGTTGTTGCTGCTGTGCAGCATATTCTCCTATTCATATTAGTAAATCTATTCTATGATTATTTGATTAACTTCAAATATTAATTGTTTTAACTATATGAAAACAACCTGTAGCCAATTTCTTACTCAGCTGGTAATTTTATGTTCTATTTCTACAGGTTCTCAACAAACAGGGTTCCTCAATGCCCTGAAGGACAGCCCTGCAAGATATCCTTTCACTGAAACAAATTGCTGATTTTGTTACAAAATAACATCTGAGATGTGGGTTTGCTTTTTTTTTTTTTCGCTATTGTTGGATATGTGCTTTGGGACTTTATCAGTTAATGACTTCATCACTTCCTGCACAATAGGATTTTTTGCCACATGTTGGAGGTAGGAAAGAGACTATAGCCCAGAGTGGTTTTTATTCATCTTTTGCAGAGCAGTCCTCTTGACAAAGATCTGTAGTTTCCATATGTGATGAAATATGCTTCATATTTTGTGGTGAATTTCATAAATATATCTTACACTATGCCCGTGCTGTGGTTTCACTTAAAATGTTCAATAATTCTCCTGGTTTTACGTCCAAAAGTATCCAAAATGGCTGATTCTTTTCAGGATAGAAAAAGTAGATTTTGGAACAACTGAAACCATATGCTGTCCTCAAAGAGTTCAATTCCTGAAACTATTCTTATGTTTTTAGAGTAGTCATTTTCAAATATTAACTTCTGGTAAGCTACAGAGCAATATGTAACTTGCCTACACAGAGACTATTATTGTTGTTCAGCCTGGAGAAAACAAGACTCTGGGGAGATCGTTGTGGTCTGTCACTATATAAAGAAGTCTCATAAGAAAAACAGAAAGAGAGACTTTTTACCAGGGCCTGTAGTAACAGGACAAGAAGCAGTGGTTTTTAACTGAAAAGAGGGTAGGTTTAGATTGGCCAAAATGAAGACGGTTTTTACAATAAAGGTTGTAAGACACAGGAACAAGTTCCTCGGAGATGTCGTGGGTGCTCCATCCCTGGAAGTGTTCAAGGCTGGGTTGAATGGGGCTTTGAGCAACCTGGTCTAGTGGAATGTGTTCCTGCCCATGGCAGAGGGGTTGGAACTGCATGATCTTTAAGGTCCCTTCCAACCTAAGCCATTCTGTGGTTCTGTTTTGTAAATGCTCCATGTACTATTTGTCTCTTCATGACAGCTTTCTGTATATTTTCTATTCAGTGAGAATGGAGTCAGAAAGCAGCTAACATAATGAAAAAATGGGAAGCTGATATAACTACTGGTTAATTTCTTTCTTACATTTCTGTACAGACCATAGGCTTCCTGTTCCTTATGTATATATTTTGAATGGTTTGTGTCTGAATAAACAGTTTGCACTTCTCACAAAGATACTATAAAAAGAATTCTTTCCCTTTTTTCCATTGTGCCTCACAGAGTTTGCTTTTCCACAGGAGAGTAGGAAGAGTCCTTCAGAGTTGTGCATAGAGACCTCCCTTTCCAGATAGTTTTCCCAAGTGTCAAATTCTGCAGATACAATTTTTTTGTGTTTTTATTCATCAGGTAGAGTCACTGAGCTGTAAACTCCCTGTTTAAACAAAGCCATTGTTCGGATTTTTTTGTAGAAATAATTTTACAAATCACAAACTTTTATAAATAGCATAACCATAGCTTCCAATTAAAATAATTACAATCAATTCTCGCAAAAGGCGATTCTTTCAAACTATTTCCAAACTGAGAATAGCTTTCAGTTGTCCTTAAATCAAAATGTGATCACTTATGCACTTAAGGATTTTTTTGTACAGGAGCAATGGGCTATTAATTCATAATTTATGTTCAGAGATGTGCTGCTTTGAATGGCTCAGTAGCGCATCGTCTAGAAATGCCTGATTTGATAGTGATATGTTGGACAATTTAATAGCTTGGTTACAATTAACAACAATAAAAAATTAGATTGTCCAAATACTACTGGAAATGCTGCTTTGGAGCCAGTCAACTCAGGCACAGAGAACATTGCTATTTCTATCTTGCTAACAACCCTGTGTGAGATATCATATTATGCTAGAAAGATAATTATACTATAATATGCTAGTAAGCTATACTTTATGTTGAGCATATATTGGGTTTTTGTGTTTCTCTTTAATTAATGGACTCAGGTTTAATTAATGGCGTCATGTTAAGTTAACATAAACCACACCTGCTGTTCTAGAAGTCTTTCTGGATCTTGGTGTGGGGAACTGAAAAATGTCCCTTCGTGTAGTGAACTGAAAGAAGTTTTGAACTGAAAGAAATTCCCTTTTTTGTCAGTAGGAATTACTGTGGGGAGGAGAAATATACTTTTCAGTACCTTTTTGAGTGTAATTGTGGTGTGGAACATCCTGTAAGTGATGTGTTTGGGTTGCAGGGAGCCCTTCTGCCTCTAAGGTTCTTATTATCTGACCAGGTGAATCTTCCTCCTGGTGTGTAGATTCTATCCAACAGTGCTTGTCTACAGCCTTCTGTACTACTTCTACCCTCTAAAAGCCCAGTTTGTATTGTGCATAATATTTTGGCCTGTTTCCTTCTTTTACGTGTTCTGGAACCCTCTGCCAACAGTCTACTTCCTTATCCATTCTTTCTTGTACTCCTCGCTTTAGCTGTGGCCATTTAACAGTCAGCTGAGTCAGAGTTCCTATCCTGTGTTGGTTTGACTTCACATAGTTTGAGGAGGAGACAAGAGGGAAAGAGTAGTGAACATGCTGCTCAGGAATGAACTTTGGTCATCCTGCTGCTTTTGGAGAAAATTTGCTCAAATGCAAATGTCTCTTTTCTGGCTTTAAACCACTCTGATTGGAATAGGTTGTAGGGAAAGTCACACCAGGACTTCAGGTGTTTCCCAGTTCGTTAGGGGAGAGCAGCTCTGCAGTACAGAACTCTATGCTGTTAACTAACATTAGGATTTTTCATTGCAAACACATCCATCCATGCATTTTCCGGTCTGTGTCTCTGTGTAATGGTGAGGAGCTGTAATATTTCTCTTCCATTGATACGTTCAGGATGTTTATTCTGTGTTTTCAGGCTATGTCCTTGTTCTGGAAAATTTTGACTTGACATTGTCTTGGAAAGTGACTATACTAAAGGTTGATATGGTTAATATACAGATTATTTTTATCCTCTTCCCATCATCTTCTTCCTACTGATTCATTTGATCTATATCTATGGGAACCAAAGCTCCTTCTGCTGTTGATTTGTGTTCCCTAAAATAAAACCCAAAAACCTATTAAGTGTTGTAGAAAATAGCGTTCTCAAAGCAGATGTATTTTGAGTTCATGGCTATTTTGTGTAAATAAAACTATATATAAATAAAAAACTGTAGCAGGAAGCTTTCTATAGAAAGTTCCTCTTTATGTTTGCTTATATCAAATGTAGAAGCAACTTTATTGTCTTATTGCTGAAACAATGATTCCTTTAGAGTTAAAGGAATTATATAAACTCTAGTTTATGCAGTGTTGAGTGCTGACTGATTTTCCTAGTATACCAATCTCACTTTTAAAGCCTAGCTACTTCTTTATGGGTATAACATTTGGGTTATACAGTTTATAATGAATGGAAATACAGGTAGTTTGAAAAGTTGTAGTGATGCACACAAATGTGCATGTGCACACCTTTGCTGCTCTCTTGAGGTGAGGGTGTTCTTGCTGTACATGTACCTGTGCCTCTCCCTTTAACTCAGAAGTGAGAACACCCCTAGAGCTCACATGCTTGTACCTTGAGTGCAAGTCCCTGTACATTGCACCTCATACTGACAGTCTGCTGTTTGGATGCTGACTACTCGATGTTTGACAGGGATGGCGCTGTGTCTGGGCTCAACAGATTCCAGCAGATTTACCTGTGGCTATACCAAACCAAGTTTTGACTGCTGCTGTTCCCACTTCTGTGGGAACAGAAGTTATCTTTCTGCCATTTTTTGTGATTTGCTTATAAATCAGACTGATGTCTGCATTAAAAAGTCTACTTGTAATTCCTCAACTAGTGTTTAATAGCAGCACAGTGAGCTGGGAGTTGATAGGCTTCCTCTTTAACATAAGTTTTGGGCGAATGCTGCTGAGTTTTGAATATCCAATGCCACCGCACCTATTTAGACTCACAGGTTTAACAGAAGTTGCTTTCCAGGCCATTTGCCAAAGCTGGGCCACTCAGGCATCCCCACAGTCGTAACATAGAATATATCCAGTTATTAGGGGGACTTGAAAGAGCAAGTGAACTCTATATTTTATTTGGACTAGTGCACTTCAATGCTAGTGTTAGGATGCCTATCAGCATCTTAACTTCAGTAACAGAAGAAAAACAGGAGAGTCTAGCAGTTAGAACATATGACTGAGATGCAGTTTACTCAGTTGTTGTTGCCATACGTATGAGCAGAGATCTAGAACCCTTAGTCCTGGCTGAAGACTCACACTGTGCAATAAGTATTTGTACAAACATATCTGTTCAGTTTTTGGTGTTCAGCTAGCCTTGGGTTACTTCTCTTGTCTTTGATCTTCCCCTCACCCCATCAAAACCGTTATTTACTGTTACTTATCAATTTGCCTGTCTTAATACAAGTGTGATGACTCTTACAGGATGAACATGAAAATTTGAATTTCAGCAATTGAGTAGTTTCTAGCCTTTTTCAATTTGTAAACCCTTAAATATTTGCTGGTGTACTATTCAGTGGTCTATACAATAAAGCCTACTGGCAGTAGTCTTGCTTTTCTGAGTTCAATTTTTGCTGATCCCTTTGAAGTACCCCAGAGATCTAAAGGGACTTGTGGATTACCTGGAATTTTGTGATTTTTAACTACTTTTTATTGGATTTCTTTTCCATTTGCATATATTTCCTTGACTTTCAATTACTGTGCTGGAAGCTGTGGTGTGTTTTTTCTCAGTATGGTCCATTGTTGGCCTCTCAGGTTTTCATACATATTTGATCAGCTCCAATCAAACAACAAATGAAGATGTAAGTTCATAGTTTATTTCTACATATGTTTCTAAATAGTAGCGAGGAGGTTTTTCTCAAATCACACCTGTCTGCATCATTTTGTGAATACCTCATTAGGAAAGAAGACAGTAACATGGTTGTGCTTGATTTGAAAGATCAGATGAAATCTTTTTGCCTATATTTGATGTGGCTTGAAAATATGCTGGTTTATATACATAGTATGTCCATTATGGTTTATGCATACAGGACCTCAATCTTGAAGTAGGAAAATATAGAATAGAGGATAAAAAGAAACAAATATATTTTATACAGTAGGGAATTAATAAATACTTTTCAGTATCTGTTTTTCTTTGAGAGTTCTAAATATTATTTGACTCAAAAATTGATTACTGTGAAAATTTAAAATTGTGTTGAATTCTCTAAACAAAAATTTCATCCTTTATTTTATTTTACCTTTGAAAATTTTTTGCCAGTCTGAGGTCTAAAACCTCTGGCAAGGAGTATATAATTAATTTAAAGGTCAACATTCTCATTTCTACAGTTTTCTATTTTGCGTGTAGGTTTCTACTGTTTTGGTGTGGAAATTATGTTTAACTGTGTGTAAAGTCTTCATGTGTCCTCCCCTAACTAAAAGGAGAAACACAACATGAATGAAAGGAGAAAATAAAATTAGCCTGGGAGCTAATGGTATAGAAAGCTTGTTGGAAATTTAGTAAGTGATCTAACAAAGGACTGCAAACTTTAAATTATTTTGCTGTAATTTTATGTTGTACCTTTTTCATAGGTATTTGGCAGATATAAATGTAGCATCTTTGAGACTGTCAAACACATGTTTTCTCATTGTTTAAGGTCACTATTAAAATAGTAAACTTTACAATCAATACCAATCAACCACAAAAAAACTTCCCAGGCAGAAGGAATCGTGCCTCAGCATCAAGTATCAGAGCAAGTAGCCTGACTTGGAAGAAAGCTACGTTGTTAGTAAGACAGATGAGATACTCTGGTATTCCTCAATTATTAGGTTTAGGCCAACATTGTCTCTCTATGCAAACTTGTTGTGCTTCTGCTATCCCCACTTCCCTCAAATAGATGTCTCTTTTGGATTGTTGAAAGACAGATAGCAGTGACCTGTAACAGTGGAACATGTCTGAATTTCAAGTAAACTGTTCAGTAATTTAGTTTAAAATGTACATCCCCAATTGAATACAGCAAGACATTTTACTCAAGCTCTCAAGTATCTCACAAACAGAAAAGCTAACTAGCTAAGGAAAAATATAATATGCAGTAAAAGGTAGTAATGGCTGCAGATACTTCACAATATTTTAGTGTCATTTGTGAACTGTAGGGAAGATAATGTCATGCGATATGCCATATTATTTGTAAAATTAAACTTAGACCATTAGGTTTAGATGATGAAATTCTTACTGTGAATATATTGATTCCTTGAAATTTTGGGTTGTCTAAATCTATGGAGGTAAAGCATGTGCTCACTTCTAAGATTTTAGGATCCAGCCTTGCATAACAGCCCAAAACTCTAAGCTGTTTGGAAGTGTCATCATGGGTTTTCTGTGGTCTGCTTCTGCAAGTAGCATGTTGCTGCTTTGGTAACCCTTAATTTGTCCCAGCCATTTTTTATATTGTTTTACATGTGATGTATATTGTTCATATCTCTTCAGATTAAAGGATCATGGTCAAATAAAAGAGGTAAAGAAAACTATAATCCCTACAGTTATGGCAACATCTTTACCAATTGCTGTGCTGCACTCTGTGGGCCCCTCTCTCCAAGGTAAGAGTAACAAAAGCATTGTTAACATAAATAGAGCCACCTGACTACTGATGAAAGAATTATTCTTTGCGATTGTGTAAGTTGACTCAGTAAAACTAAAGTTTTGTATTAGTGTCCCTTAGAAGCTTTAATTAGTTTTTTCTTCAGTAGTAAAGAGATAAATTGGTAAATTGTGGTTAAAGTAAATTAGTGATCAGATGCTCTAAAATATATTTAATATTGACATCTGAAATGAAAATAAACTTATTTGTTGTTTGAACTTTTGCCACTGCAGTTAATAACTTACAGCAGTGGAAGATTGCTAGTAGTTAGCCATTGCATAAAGGATAACTTGAAATTTTATTTAACTCTTACATATCTAACAAATGTTTCATGAGTTTAGAAGAGTTTGTGAACCTTTAGTCTACAGCAGCTTGATAATTGTTCATTTTTGACCCATTTTATTTAAATGGACAGTATTTTTTTTATTTAATACTATTAACATATATACATTAAGCTGAATTTGGTGGTCTTACACCAAAGCAATTCAAAAGAAAGCACAATGGATTAAGTTTTGCTGCATACATTTTCACTTTTGAAATCCAAAATGTTTGTATACGTAAGGTTAGAGATGTTTTTTTCAGCTTGAACAAAATGTAGGACAGAACTGAGAGTAGAGAAATAAAACTGCCAGCTGAAAAGACTTCATTCTTTTCTTATTCCAGTGCTCAGTGATTACATAGTTCACACACTACATATGCAGTTTCACTGTAGAGACTAGCTGAGATCTTGTAGATTATTTTTGTGACATACTCATCAATTGATATGTTTTGCTTTGTCTGGAATTCTGTAGTGATGAATCTGAACTACCAAGAAGGAAGAAAGTAAATGACTCTATGGTCCAATGGCCAAGGTGTTTAGTTGGAAGTGGGATTTTATGGCTTCGCTATCAGGAATATCAGAGGTGGTTCTTCTATGAGCAGTCAAAGGTCAACAGGAGAGACTGATGTCTTTTCCTAAATTAGAGAAAACTGGGTAATGATTTCCACATACTGGGTTAACACTGGTGAGAAAGAGTAGCCCTATCTCTGCTTCCTACCTCTGTGGATATTGCCTGAAGCCAGCCCTTTAATTTTGCCATTTTGCTTTTCATAAAAGTATGTGACATAAAAGCTTACTGGCACACTTCAAATTCTTTTGACTCCAAATGGAAATCTTTATTAAAACTGCATCATGTTTCTCAGTATTTGAAATAGCATCTTAGGCTGATACAAGTAGCAGCACACAATTAGACCAGACTGGCATTGGCTCCTGTGTTTTAACAGTTTGTACATTTTTTCCTATTCCATGCAGCAACATTACTTATTTAGATGTCAAAATATATGTAGAAGTTCTTCAGGGAGATATTTTATGACCAAGAGGAAAAATTTACTGACTATAAAATGTAAATTATATCCTTGCTTTTTTTACTTTTAGTCTCAGCTGTGTCCCAAGTCACTAAATATTAATTTTTCCCTTAAATTCTGGAAAAGTGGCTTACCAGCAATTACAGCTTAAAATTCAAATGCCTTTGAGAGTGCAATGCAGGGATAGAGGATCTGTAAATAATCAAAACTTTTCTTACTTCTGTTAAAGATGGTTTCTCATTTTTAAATCTATGCTAGCAAATTCAGAATGCATTTTACATGTCCTCCACAATTACTTTCAAATCTTAATTTAATCCATAGCTGTCAGCATAGGTCTAATCAGTGTTCTGATATAATAAATCATATAACATTTTAAGCATTTTTAATCTTTAACTAGGTTAGATTATTCCATTCTATTAATTTTTTTAAAATCTTATGTAGATTTTTACTTATTTTTAGTAATTTCTTCACAAAGCATTTTCTTAGGTGAAAATAAGCAATTTTATGAGTGCATCACTTTGGCAAGCACAGTGGAGTATTAGAAGTGGTGTTAAGTAGCTGTCATGAAAAACCTGATGAGTAAGTTTTCTGTCTGAACAAAAGTTCATCTTTCTTTCTTTCTTGCTAAATTTTGTGACTAAGTAGTTTTAATTTAGATGTGAAAACTGGCAAAAAAAACAACCTTCAGAAGAGATGCTGAATCAAAGTGCCCTAGTGAGTTTTGTAATTTATTTTCACATCTATGGTTTAAAATTCTTTGGTTTTGTGGTATCTGCTGGTAAGCTTATAAATCTACTGTCTGTGATAAAAATCCAGAAAAGTAGTAGTATGTATGACTGTGTGATAGGCAGTATCACAAGGAAGAAGTACCTTACTGATGAGTACAAATGAAGTCTTCTACTTTAGTTGAGTAAAAGAGGACATTCTTTTTATTGAGAGGAAGTAGTTATTGACCAGAAATATTTCTAACTCTTTTTCTTTATTGTGATTATTCTGTAGCTTAATTGACAGAAGAGGATTTATACAACCAGATACACCGCAATTAGCAGGACCGTCAAATGGCATTACTATGTATGGGGCCACACAATCTCAGAGCAACATGGTAGGAATCATCCCATAGTGTTGTTCATCAAGATTCCTGTGAATGTTTTTCTTCTCCACTTTCATGTGAACTAATCAAGTAATAACTAACTGGATACAGCTGACACACTGGGTGGAATGACTTGTTTATTAACAGTAAAGAAAAAAAACCAAAACCCAAGGCTCTTTTTAATATATGTTTCACACAGTGTAATAGTTATGGCTCATGGATTCTTAAAAAAAAAAAAAAGGCTTTTCTACACTTGATTTATTGAATATACTGGCATTTTGACTTTTACTGTTGACACCTGCTGTGTTTTCAACTGGAATATTCAAGTATCATGGACGCTCTGGTTCATCATTTTCCAGCTAACTGTTATTTTATATGGCACTTCCTTCATACTTTATTTCCTTCCTTGCTTGTACACTGCGGTTTTGCATAGACTAATGTATTTAAAAAAACAAAGATGAACAAAGAGAAGTTTCTAGGGGAGAAGTATTTTGAAGAAAGAGCAGGAGGACACTGAACTTGCAATGAACAAAAAATGGCAACTGGATGGTTACAACAAAAGCTTTTAAACACCTTTGAAACTGTGCCAATAGTTTTTACTTTGTTTTTTGCTGGTAGCATTGGCTATCATAATGGAAGATAGGATTTCCAGTGCCAAGAAGAAGAGAATAACTGGAAAGATCTTTTTCCAAAGGCAAGCATCTTGCATATGTGCCTATTTCTGAACTGTTATCCACATATCTTCATATAATGTGGGTTCTAAGACTTTGCCCAAGAAGTCATGAGTTATGGACACCCTCCCTCTGCCAAAAAAGAGGAAGCCACAAGGCCTTCTGACATAATTCAGCCTTTCTTTTGAACAAAAGAAGAAAAGACACCCTCTTCTCAGACAGATTAGTTTTTGTGTCACTGATAAACTCGTGTAAAAATTTTGGTTTAGTTCCTAAGCTGGTTTTACGTATTACTTTGAGGATTAAATAGATTTGTTAGTCTCCTTAATAAGAAAATTTATTAGAGGCACAGTGTTAAGTCTGAATCTTCTGTGAGGTGCAGTTGAGCAGAACAAGGTAATGCTCCATGCAGATTATCAAAATAATATAACTCTGAAGAGAGAAAAGGGTGTTTAAAAAAAAAAAAAAAAGAGAAAGCAAACCTTAGAAATGGGCTGAGGTCTTTCAGGGATTACCCAAACTTTCTGACTCTGTCAAGGCTTCTTATTTGTGAGGATCATAAACCCACAGTATGTCCCTGGCATTAAATTACCTTATCATTATAAGGATTATACTTGCATTATAAGAAGACACTATCATTATTCCTAGATATTAATGAGAAAATCTTGTGCTAGTTTGATAGAAAATTGACTAAGTTTGTCTCTAGGAATGGAGAAATCTGTTATGGTATTACTTTAAGTCAAACAGGCAACTGTTATGATTTTTAAGTGTAATACCGGTAATTACACAAATTCTTTGAGGGCTTGAACTTCTTATGTCCTAGAACACCACACCACATGAGCTGGGAAAGGCTTAGGTTCTTTAACAGTTATCAAAATCACTAGGAAATGTCCAGATTTCATTCCTGAAAATGATCTCTTAGAAAAAGCTTGAAAAATGTAATATGTCAAGTTTGATTTGGAGGAATATCTGTTATCACTGTAATGCTATTTTTCTCATTATACCTGGTCTGTATCCAAGACCAGTTGGTTTCTAGTGGCCTCTGGCTATAAGGATTAAAATTTCTCCCTTCAGTTTTGTTGCAAACTGTTAAAGACATGCTTAGTTTACCAGTCTCTCTAACACTGTTTTCTCTTCCCTATTGAAGGGGATGTGTCTGGTACTGCCGCTTGTATTATTACAATTTTAGATAAGGACAGACAAAGTAAAATTCCTTGACTTGAAAGGGCATGTGTAGATCATAGTCTTACACCATAAATACTTTTTAAATCGCAGAGGTTTAGCCATTTATACATCTTCAAAGATATTTACACTATTTTAGCAAGCTTAATGCTTCTGCGTACAAGAAATAATTTACTAGAAATCTGAAGTGTGTTTCAGTACACCTTTATGGTGTGTCTCCAGTTTTATTCCAGAATGGATTGCATCTTCTTATCTCAACATTGAATCCTAATGTCTAGATGTTATGCTGCTTAATCCACATAGCGTGCTAAAATGTCTATCCTGCCCACTGATATTAAATAAAGATTTTAATGAGCATATTCTCTCACAATTGTCTTCTCTTTTTCCTTCCCTCTTTCATTTCCTTCTCTTCCCTCAAATCTTTTACTCAGTGACTTGTGTCTTTCTAAATAGAATTATTGTGCCTCACCCAACTAGCTTCTTATCTCTCTTTAAATCTCTCTGGGTTGCTTAGTATTATATTCTCTTTTCATGTATTTTAATGAATCTTTTAGCATAGCATCATTTTTGCATTTAAACTCAACGTAAATATCAGGTTAAGTGTAAAGTTGCCAGATGCTTGTTTTCAGTGCAATGTATTATCTCTTATTCAGTATACCATTTGTGGGGCACTATTTTTGTATTTAACAGCTTTTGTGGTAATTTTGCCTCTGAGACTTTGGATGTTTCATATAGGATCTACTCTACTCATGATAGTGACCCAGTTTGTCACAATCTCAAAAAGTCAGGATTATTGCTATAATCAGTGCTTGATAAACCCATACTGTGATTTTATTTTTTTATAGATCTTTATAGAGGAGATTTTTCTCATGTTCTGTCCTTAGTATCTCCCTTATTTTACTAAAAGCTGAAGTTGTATTTACTTTTATGAAGACTGGAAGCACATACAATTATTATTTTGCCAGTATGTTCCAAGTGTTTTTAATTTCTTTTCCAATACAATTTGAAATTAGTCTGGTAAATTGATTAGCCAACTTCTTAATATCCTTATCCACATGACAAGCATGGTCACTTGAAGCTCATAATCCATACATCTAGTTATTTCCAAAGTATTTCCCTATTGCATTTTACTGCTGATTATTTTTGCAACCTTGTCATTAGCCGGATTGCCCAAGTATATCTCTTATTCTTAAGAATTTCTTTTTTTGTGTGAAGCACAGTATCTCATCCATTATGAAATAAGAATTTTCTCTGTAATTTATTCTTTCTCTTTCATTTTGAAGTTTATTTTGTGTTCTGAAAAAAGTTCTAATTTCACTATAAACCCACCAGCTACCATTACTTAGGTCTGCACTGTTGTAGTACTTAGCTTTCCCTTAAAAGCCTGAGCTGACCCTTGGGGTTTGATACAAGGTATTTTATTCTTTAGTATTTCATTGAGAGGAAACACAGACTATCTCACTCCATGCATTTTTTTTTTTTGTGAGGAATTAGTTTTATATTTACTATGATGTCTCTAGGAGTTGTCTAATGCCTTATAAACTCATAGACTTCGCTGCTATCTGACTTTGTGTCAGGACAGGTTTATTTCCTTGTTTTTAAGAAATTTGCTTGTACTCCTGCATTCCTAGGCATCTCTTCTTCAGTGCTTAGGTAGTTCCTTGTGTGCCAAAATTCCCTTATTTCTAGTTCTCTGTTTCCTTTCTTGGATGCAAATTCTTTAGAGTGTTTTCTTACTTATATGCACCACTAAAAATTGTAGGAGCCATAGTGCATGTGCAACATTCGTTACCAGTGAGATGTGCAGGAAAGTCCTCTCCCAGGTGTTCACATAAGTATTTCTATTACTCATCTGGAAACAGATCCAGCTGTGACAGTCCTGGTGTACTTTTTCCTTTGATTTTCATGTTTTCATTGTTAGCAGTAAGTATTTCTATTACGACAGTAATAGGATCGGCAAGGACAGGAATCCCCTTTTGCTGGGAGTGTTTCCTTGTATATTTACCGGTGTCCTTCCCAAATGCCTGAAACAGAAGTCAACATCACTACAGTCAAGGTTTTTCATTAAAGCATTTTACTTCACGGTTAAAATGGGTTTAGGGCACATGCAAGTAAATCAACTTCAGCATTTTGCCTTGGGTTGGAATATGTTTTAGGAGCAATTCTTTTGATAGTGCATGTTCGCTGCAATTTAATTCATGTCCTGGAGCAGTGTCAGAGCACATGAACTAGATTTATTTTACCTCATCACAGATCTGCTCCTTGTGCACTGTAGTACTTGATAGTGGAGCGATTCCCTTGGTGTGATTTGTGGCTCAGTTCTTGCACAGTATCCACAGTACATTGATTTTGATTGTGAAATCCTGCACCTGTTGGGAACAGTTATACAGCTCCATCCCTCCACTTTTTACCTATCTACTGTATCCACCTAGTATGGTATTTCAGCATCCTTCCTGTTACTTCATAGCGCTGTCAGCCTCCTCTGAACTTCTTGTTGTTTGTACTTTATTCGGAGATGCTGAGATAATTCAACCTCCTTTTCTCCATCTTCTGAGAATTGTAACAATTCTTGAATGTTACTAGTGTTTAGAAAATTTTTAACAAAGTTTATTTAAAATTTAAACTAAATGATCTCTGATTATTTAGAAATAAACACATTTAGAAATGTGAAAAATCTATTGCCATGTACAACAACGATGTTACCAAGTATTTTCTGTGTAGCTTAGAAAAAAAACAGATTTTCTTCAGGAAAAAAATTTGTTTCCTTAGTTGTTTGTATTTATTATTTGTGAAATAAACACAGAATTCTAGGTTTTGTCTAATTTACTTTAATTTATGCTTTTTTATGTAAAAATAAATATAGATATGGCTAAAAATTTCTATGCATGCATGTAGTTGAACTTCTGTACTGGTAGAACTTATTGGACTTATCTTACCTCCAGAATCTGCTGTTCCTCTTGAAACAGTGGAAAATAAAGCCAGGTCTGAAGTAAGAAGGTACTGGTGGAATAGTTTTGACAGATTTTTAGTTATTTAGATTTCAGTTCTTGGGTTTCTTTTTGTTGTAGTCATAGGCTTTTTTATTTCATTTGAAATCCTGGTGTTGAATAATTCATGTGATTAGTAGCAGTTAAGGCTTCTGGCCCTAAATTTCATTCAGTCAAGAGTGAAATATGGAATCGAGGAAAACCTACCATGCCAGCCCTATAAACAAATCTGATTTCCTTGTTTAGGTTTGTGTTGGCTGTTTAAACTCAAGAATAGTCTTGCCTGTATATTGAGTGTTTTTATCAGATATTTTTGAGGGCTTCATTGAGCACATATACTTTTTCTAGTTTAAACGCTGCCCTAGTTCTCTTTCGAAAGCTGTTTACAGCCTGTATTTTCCCAAAGATTTCATGCTGCTCACCATTAAACAAAAAAAGAAAAGGAAAACCTGAAATGTATCTAAATGAAAAGAGAGGCTTTAGGGAAATGACAAGTACATGAAAAATGAAGAAGAAAAATACAGCACCTGAAGAAGTTTATAACACTACTTAATGGAGCTTTATGAGGCTACTTTTTCTTTTCCAGTATTGATTCAATTGAAATGCAGCAGAGTTCTGTAAGAAAATGAATTCACACTATACAATGAATTCAAGTAAATTACCTTCAACTAATTTAAAAGGGTGTACTTGTATTACTTGTATTGCCTGGAACACATTAATGATTGCCTTTTGAAGATCAGAGCTGAAAGTTCACTAAAGCAATAAGTCAGTTGCTAATGTTATTTGTTTTCAGTGTACTCCAGTGGTTATAGGCATTCCTTTGTTATTTAACTTGCGTTTTGGCTGCTGCTTTTAAGAGAAGATAGATTTTGTTGGTCTTTTTGAAGTTTGAAAATTCAGTTAGCATATTTTTGAGGTCTGCACAGTAAGGTTAGTTGAAGGGGCTATAGTTTAATTGAAGTAAGCAGGTGTGAATAACAGAATATTGATCAAGAATGAGTTATTCACACTGAATTACTAATTGAAAACATGACTTTAAAAGATGCTGACAGTTTTTTTCTTAGTAACTTAAGCAAGGTTTCAGCTTTAAACCTGTGAGTAATCCCCCTGAAATTATAGGGGACCACTTCAGTTGTTTGACTGGGGCTGTTCGTCATTTTGTGGGGGGGAAATTGCTTACAATTTATATGAACTCAATTCATGTAGTAGGAAGTTTTTCTGAAAGCAGAAGTGTTGGAAATATGTAATTGAGTAAGGATTGGACTTCTGCCTATCAAAAAATAGTTGGTCTGGAAGTCCTAAACAACTTAGTCATCTTTTAAATACTACCTATCTACTATGACAAGTACTCTGCCTGCACACTTTCTGAGTGCAACGTGTGCATCCATCATTAAGCTATTCAGTGGTGAAACTGGAGAACCTGAAAATAGCAGAGGAACCATTCTTGGTTGTGGTTTTCATTATACAGTAAAGGAAGCAAAAGTCTTTCCATGAGTTTCCTTAGGGTGTATCACAGTGGCTTATTAAACTCAAAGGGGCATTTTAGGGAATTGCTATGATGGTAGTAGCAATGGTTATGATCGTAATATTGGAAAAGATGATGGATTTGTAACATCTAGTGATTTGATATAGATCAAAGAACTTAGTCATAAAGCAGAACATACTGCTTTAACAGAATTCTTGAAATAACTAGAGTGAATAGGCATGTCTTACCTCTGGATGTATCTTTTGTTTTGCTTGCTTGCTTCCAAATGTTCTTCATTGCATTGGATTTATAGTTGTATTCATTGATTGTAGTGTTTTTCTTACACAGCAGAACAGTACTATGGCAAATGAATCTAACAAGATTTTGAAAATCTGCAGATGTTATAACTGATCTGGCTAGGAATTAAATATATTTTTTTCCTTGGAAGCTCTCAAAAATCATACCAATTTGTGTTAAAGAAAATTTGGCAGTAGGTGTAGTACCCACTTAGCTAGCTGGACATTATTGAATCACCTACCTGTCTTGTCATCTCAAGGAATAAGTGATAATTTTGTATAAACAGGAATAGGTGTAGAGCCAAAAGCATTTCTGGTAATAGTCACTTCAGCCTAACTGAATTTATATTATGCTGAATTTTGCTTGTTTTTGAGACAGTACTTGCCAGAAAAGGTTTTGTTTTATACATTGATTGTTCACATTGTCAAGATTAGTCAAGAAACTACCTAAAAAATCATTCAGGTTGATCTCAAATTGATATGTCTGCAGTGCTGCCTGATTTCCACACATCCACTAGAATATAGAGTATAGTGTAGTATATTCTGGAGAATGTATATATCATGTATTAAAAAATAATGTAAGAAAAAATTTTTACTCATAAGGGCTGTATTGCCAACTATATTTTTATAAAAATCACCTGCGTCAAAGGAATTCTTGTTCTGGAAACCTTCTGTAGTAGCTTAATTCCTGCATGTGAAGACCAGTTAAAAGAAGACAATTGCCTAGTGTTTTTGAACTTAAAGATGCTTAGGTCTATTTTAAAGACTACCGAAGCCCTTAAGTGAACACTGTAAATGTTTTTCATAATTTACTTTGATAATAATTCAAAGCATTGGCTCAGTTATGCGTGCCTTTCTTTTTTTCTCTGGGCAGCATGCAATGGGATTTTTGGGTGGCTAACCGTGGAATGATACTAATGGCTTTCTTTTTTTTCTCTTCACATCCCATTCTTTTCCATACCTTTTTGTCCATATTCTCCCTTTTTTTTTTCTCTGTTTTGTTTGCGTTGTATGATTTTGACACCCTTTCCATTCTACAGTGTGACCAAGATCAGTGCATTCAGAGCACCAAATTCGTTTTGCAGGCTGCTGCCACCCCTCTACTACAGAGTGAGCCAAGCATAACTAGTGAAGAGCTACCTTTACCAGGAAAGACTTCTATCAGTGGGCCTTGTGCAGCTCTAACTCTAGGGCAACCGACACCACCATCTTCTATGCCAAATCTCACATCAGATTCAGGTTTGACAGACATCATACCATTAAAAGAGGAACACGAAGGTCATCAATTTCTCACTCCTGAAGAAGCTCCATCACCTCCTGGGATGTTGCCAAGTGGAAGTCCTATCACACACAGCCATACAATGCACGTCCTGAGTCTAGCCAGCCAGGATTCATTGCATGAAGACTCAGTACGTGGTCTCGTGAAGCTTAGCTCAGTTTGAACAGCTTTTTTGAACATCGCACCATTTCCTGGTGTCTGTACAAATCTCTAATTAACAGGAATGACACTTCAGTACCGCTGTAAGACTTCATAACATACCTATAATGGAAACTATATCGCATAGTGGAGTCTACTAAAAAAACAAGTTATTTTTCAATGGAGCTATGGCATTTTTTTGAACAGGTTGCTAATGGTTGTGCTTTGATGGTGACTGCATTTTATTTTTAAATAAAACCAGAAGAGGTCAATAATCTTGTTTTCTGAAGCTTTGGTACCCCAAGTTGGAAGTCTGCCTGTAACAAACACCATGTACAGTACAAAAAGAGAGAGATTATTGGATGTAAGTGTCATGCTCTGTGTTCTATGCTCTTGTAATACACACTTGTTAAGGCTTACCACACCTGTGGCCAGAATGATCTGCACTTACATGTTATGCTACCAATATTTGAGAATAGAAAATTACCATTCCATTTGTTAATACAAAAAAAAAGACTGCAGATGTGGATTTGCATGCCACGCTACAGTATGTGTTACAGTGGTGTTGGTATTAAGAGAAAGTGCTGCTTTTTTATTTGTGACTTTGAAAGTGCTGTTTCATTTAAAGACAGTACAATAAACAAATTAATGGACTATATTTTTTCAATTTATTAAATTTTATTTTAAATTAATCAGTGGTGCCTAGAAGGTGACGAATTACTGATTTGATCATGTTGCATATCATTTAACCTTCTGTTTAAGTGTTTAGAGTGAGGTATTGTGTTGTGCCATACCACAAAATTCTTCCACTCCCTAATGTGATACAGTTACCTGTGGACCTCCAATAAAATTACATCCTCTATTTTGTGGACATGTGTACAGTTATCCTTACACAGTTTTGGTGGGGAAAGAGGGGGAAATTGTGACTTGGTAACACAGTTTGTAAAGATTTGACTGGAATATATGTACATAATTAAACTAGTGCTATGGAGGAATAGTTGGTTATGATTAGGGTGGCTTCACCATTTTTTATGGCTTTGTTTGAGATGTGTATTTGCTCCCATAAGAGGTCCTTACTTGGAAACAGTAGAATTACCTTCTGCTTGCACTGTAATTTTATGTTCTTTATCATAGGGCTAAAGGGTGAGGGGCTTAAGATTGAAGACAGAGAGCTTAGTGAAGTAATCTTAAATGATTAACATAGTCAGTAGCTGTCCTCAACCATCATCCTTCATTTGTATTTGTCCTTTGATATTTTAAATGGAAATCTTGATTTCATAGAATTCTTCTGTCCTTTTTGTTTGTTTAAGTAAAGCACAACTAAGAGGTTAAAGAGATTTTTATAAGTGTTTTTCATGACAGCTGAAGAGAACCTTAGTTAAGCAGAGAAACTGTAATAGCTTTAATACTGTATTTACCTGCTTTTCAGAGTGTGGAACCTGGATTCTTCTTTTCTAAGGACAATCTAAGTACAGAATATGCTTTATCTGATGCTTCTATTACATGAAAGCCATAGTTAAGAAAAGTACCACCCGTTAAGAAATGTAACAGTTCTGTATTGTTGACTGTGGTCATTCAGCAACACTAAGTTAAAATCTTTTTTCTTTTTTACTTTCATTGTTGAAATTGAGAACAATCAGCCTGCAGAAAATCACTTACCCGTGCTATTGAAGGTTCAGACAAGATACTGACAAATCCCCTACTCCTCTAAGATTTCGTAAGCAATCTGTTTCTATAATTGATGATGCTAGCTTTGACCTAATTCAGTGTGTAGAATATAGCAATGGTTTCTGTCTGTAAGTGCCATAATGGGTCTAACAAAGAACCTCTAGCAGTCAAACCTGTCCCAGTCATTTGAGCCACGAAAGAAGCTCTAGCAGACAAGTCTGTCCCAGATGCTGTAACTACCCTCCCAGCATTTTCCAGAAGCTGAGACAGTCTCGAGTTCTTTCCACCAGCCAAACTGTGGTGACTGACATGTCCCAGTTGGCTGATCTCCCAATAAGCCACAAGTATCAGCACTTACTTCTGTATCTGCTCTTGAAGAAGAGTCAGTGATACTGATGATCTTGATTTCATCTTTCTCTAATACGGCTTCACATGTATGAAGCTGTGAACATCTGCATTAAAACAGGTAATGGATTGAGGGCTGGAGATACTGGCCTCATAGACCTGGGTAAAGAATCCCAGCTTTTGAGGTTGTAGACCAGTATTTGATGAATAATTATCTCATAATTATTCTGTGTCTGTGGGTAGTTAACTGTGGGTGCATTATTCACTACAGAGAAGGGCAAGTCAAATATTTTTAATGTGGTATCAAAACTTTCCAGTTGTATAAGTAATAATGATGAGGATGACTATTTTAAGGAAATTGTTCTTTTTAAGTCTCCCTGAAATAGACGGGGGATTTTATGTTTCCAAGAATACCAGCTTCGTGACAACATTTATATGTCATTGCCACTAGGGAGTAGTGCAGAAGGCTCTGTGCACAATAAAATTTGTGTCAGTTTTAACATGAAAGGGAAGGGAGTGGGACAGGATTAGAGTCTGTATGCTGTTTGCCGCGTGCTCATGCTTTCTGCTATCATTTTCTGAACTTTGTTTTGTTTATAAGTGAGGTGTAAGAATTACCAAACAAATTGGAAACAGATGCCTTAGTTTAAACATGTGCTAGTTACATACTTGTTCAGGTGACTTTCTTTTAGTTTTTAAGATAATGGTCTTATTTTCTAAACATGTTGCCTATGTTTCTAAGTTTGGTGTTTGAAAAGGCACTTAATACCTTGAATTCGTTTATATATCGCCCTTATTTTAGGTCTCTTTTCCTCCCCATCTGTCTGTTTTAAATGGTGACATCTCTAACCTTCCTGACACGCCTGCCTTGCGAGGACATCTGCTGGAAGGTTTTGGAACTAAGTACTAACCCAGGCGGAGTGGTAATTGCAGTCTTTGATTGACAGCAGGCAGTGATTTAGCAGCAGGTTGATCAAAGAGGTGCCTCTGACAGGGGTTTTAGTCCCTTCCCCTCACCTCCATCACATCTGTCTTCAGTCTTGAGCACTCCCTTCGTTGGAATTTGTGTATACATCTGGAATGAGTCAGCGAAGTAACTATTCATCACCTTCTCTACAGATTTGATTACTGATATTTTACTTTGAACTATGATTACAGAGCATGCACACTAAGGATCCAAAATTATAATCCTAGTTAATACTGCACAGCGGGTTTTCTATGTTTTTTTTTCTTTGATAATTAGTATATTGTTATTAAAATTAAATGTTTGATTTATAAATATAAATTCAAAGTTGATATTTTCAGAAAAGTAAATATTTTTTTCTTAAAAACCTAAAATCTTTGAATGTGTAAAACTAGCTAGTTTATCTGATTTAAAATATTTATTCTGCTTTAGTTTTTTTAAATCATATTTTTCCCTTCTAGTTGTCTATATAATATTCTTTGTGGAATGAAATACAGTGCTTCATAAAATGTTTTTAAAGGCTCTTTATTCTTGTGATTTCTCAAAGACACTTCTGCCTGGAAAGGGAGTTTTAAATTACTATCAGTTAAACAGTAATGTAATAAAAGTCCAAGTATTACTGTATTTTTGTATTATAGTACATCCTTTGGCAACTTTTCATCCGTTCCTGTTAACTGATGATACAGGTAGATGTATTTCTGCATAAAGTGGTTAGTGCATTCATTAAAAATAATCTTATAGATGGAAGATTAGCTGTTTTGCAGTTGATCCTAGTAAGTGCTCGTAGAGGAAACCCAAAGACCTATGGTTTAGCAGCATGTCTTACAAGGGTGACTAACAACTTGTAATAATGCAGATTTTTGGTTTTTTAAGTCTATAATGGTAAGTATAATAGTTCACAGTAAGTAAATGGTTGCCTAATGTTCAAAATACTAAACAAAGGAGCTTCACTGCAGAACCTATAAAACTGAGCTTCTATTCATTTCTTAGTTCCAAAATTCAATACATCTTGAAGAAGAACTCAGCAATGTTATAGAGGGATCTAATCCTTACATTAGTCATTTTCTGGTTTAAATTATATGTGGGAACTGTCATCACATATCCGTTGATCTTTTTTTTTTTTTTCCCCTTCACCTCCTTATCAGCAGTGGTACTCTGAAGCTGAACATGGTGTGTTTGCTTGTGGGCCATTTTGATCTTTGTTTTAAAAGCCAGTTGCTGCCTGAATGCTTTTGTTTTAAGGGCTGACATAAAACGAGGTACTACAGTTCAACACTTTCAAATACTCTTAGGCCCAAAATATGAATTAAATGTGTTGCAGACAGTTGCATATCAATTTAGTTCACTTAAACTAGAACTGGCGTAGTTTTCAGGATTCATCTGGATCAGGGCTTCCTGGTTTTGTTTACCTGCCTGCAAAGATGTTGCAATTTGACATCTGTCCGAGTGCACTGCCAGGACTCCCAAAAGAGTCATGAAATTAAGTGAGATATTTAAACCTGTGGATATCTAGATTAATTATGAATTGTTGCAGCAATTCAGTTTCATCACCAGAAGGCAACTGTCTGTTAACATTCAACTATAGAATTTGAAAGTTCACCACAAACAAGGCAAATTGGGGAGGAGAACAACTTTTGGATGTTCTGAAGAGATTAAACAGGAGTTTTTTTCTAAGGTGTGTCAGAGAGGACAAGAATAAGAAGATGAAAAGGAAAAGACTGAGTGAAAATGGAACAGAGAAGATTAGCAGGTGACATGGAGGAAAAGAGGAATTACCTGTAAGCTGTGGAGGGAGAGGGAGGGGGTATAAACAAAAAAGTTTCTGTGAGTAGTGTGCAAGTAGGAATTAAGACTACGGGCTAGATAAACTTTGTGGTTTGCAAACCAAAAATCTATCCCACAGAGATATATTTACTTTTATATATGCTAAAGTCAGTTCCAGTAGCAAAAAAACATCAGTGACAGAGTTACTTTAATGTATTTTATGCTCCTCCCAACTTTAGCTACATTGCCACTTCTGAAAACTTGGAAAAACAAAACCAAATTTAATCCAACTATAATTTAAATCTTGTCAAACCCAAAGCTGATAACAGCTGCTGGGACTTACTGTATGTATTTAGGTATAGTTATAGAAAGGGCAGGAAGGGATCACCTTTAAACAGCTTGGCTGAATATGATCTGTGATGCGAGGAGAACTCTTAGAGCCTTTCCTCAGCTCCTCTTGAAAGCACCATATACAGCTGAGAAAAGAATGTGAGTTTAGCAGGCTTGAAAGTGTCTCACTTTGATGTTGCACTCTATAGTCTGTTCATGGCAAATTGCAGGGATCTGACTGCGCTGGGCACTCTCACCTGGGAGGTGGAAGATGAGCTGGACTGTTTGGTTGTTGCACTTGTTAGGGAATGAACTTCTAATAAGGATGGGAAGTTCAGTCAGAAGATGGTGGTACTCTAGTTAAAGCAGTGTTCGTGCGAAGGCAATGAGTGAGTGATTCCTGTCACATTTGCTAAGCATGAAGGTTTTGATAGCAAAAGTGCTTAAGTCCTGTGACCTGATTCCTGAGTCTTCTACACTGTCAGGAGAGAGAGTGTTAGTTCACAGTGGGTTCACACGGGAAAGTTCATTTATTAAAAAAAAAAGCTACTTAAGGGTGAAAATATTAATCTAATTCAGCATATGTATTTATAGTTATTGCATGTTGTGCTGATTTTGGCTGGGATAGAATTCATTTTCTTCATAGTAGCTAATATGGGCTAATAAGGCTCAAAAGGCCTTGACACTATGTAAGCACTGCTCAGCAGTAACATCACTGTATTACCAGTACTGTTTCCAGCACAATTCTGAAACATAGGACCATACCAGCTACTATGAAGAAAATTAACTTTATCCCAGTCAAAGCCGGCACAAC